AAACACTTCCCCCCCACCACCACTTTGTATTCTTAGTATTTTTGTAAACTAACTGCCGATATAAGTGTGGTTCTATTCTATTCCATTCATCTGTGTGTCAGTTATTATTTCAGTACCATACCGTTTTGATGACCATAGCTTTGTAATGTAACTTGAAGTTTGGAAGTATATCTTCCTCTTGTTTGTCACTTTCACTTCTTAGAGTCTATTGTGGTTTCATATGAATTTCACTAATGTCTCCTCTATTTCTTTGAAGAATGCCACTGAAACCTTGCTATTATTTGCACTGAATCTGTATACTGCTTTAAATGGCATGGTCATTTTTACAATGCTAATTCTTCCAATCCATTAGCAATATCAAAGGAATAGCTTTGTGACTCTATATTTTTAATAATATCTTTTAGTTTTCATTGTACAATCTTTTCACATCCTCTTTTAAATTTACTCTTAGATGATTCATTCTTTTTTTATGAGATTATAAATAGGATTGTTTCTTTGATTTCTTTTTCTTCTAGTTGCTTGTTCACAAATGTGTTTTGTATATTGATTTTTAGCCTGACACTTTGCTGTACTGATTTATTGTTTCAAATAGTTTTTTAGAGGCATTTTAGGGTTTTCTGTGTATATTATCATGCCACATGAAAATCAAGATAGTTTTCTATCACAAAGTATATTAATTTTATTAGTTTCTCTTGCCTAATTGCTCTAGCTACAACTTTCAATATTGTGTTGACTAGTAGTGGTGAAAATGGACATCTTAGTCTTATACTTGATCTTAGAAGGAACACTTTCAGTTTTTCACCATTTAATAGGATGTTAACTATTTATAATGGCTTTACTATGTTGAGATATGTTCCATTTATTCTTGTTTGAGAGGTTTTTTTTTTTTTTTAATAAAAAAGGGATATTATAGTGCCTCCCTTGTGGTGCAAGGAGTTTAGTCTCAATACTATGAAGCTATCTGCAGCCATTACAGCACAGTTCGATCCCCAGCCAGTGAGCTGACCACATGGGACAGCAGAACTCTGTCTTGCCTTCTGCTCCCCTCAGCAGTGTATTTCAGTCAATCTATCTGTTCTGCTCCCCACTGTCTCTGGTGGATGCTCTCACGCAGACACCATGCCCCGCCCCATCGCCACTCCACTTCTGGCATACGTTCCAGCTCTTGTATGCATAAATAAATTAAATAAATCTTCTAAAAAATGGATATTACATCTTGTCAAAATAATTTTTTTGCATCCGTTGAAATGATTATATGACTTTTATCTTTCCTTTATTCATGTGAATGAACACTATTGATTTACAGATGATTTGCAAATCATTCTTGCATCCCTGAGCTAAATCCCACTTGATTATGGTGTATGATTGTTTTACTATATTGAATTTGGTGTACTAAGACTTTTTTGAGAATTTCTTGTATCTATGTTCATTGGGGACATTGGTCTATAGTTTTCATTTTTTTGTGACATCTTTTTCTTCTTTTGGTATCAGAGTGATGTGCTTGGTATCATCAGATGTATAGAGTTTAAGGATAGGTATTAGTTCATCTCTGAAGACTTGTTAGAACTCACTAGAAACCATCTGGTCCTGTCTTTTGTTTTTTTGGGAGATTTTTGATTAGTTTCATATTTTTCCTTATAGTTGACGTGTTCAAGTTTTCTGTCCCTTCCCAATTCAGTCTCTGAATTTAGTTTTCTAAGAATTTGTCCATGCCTTCTAGATTGTCCAGTTTGCTCACATACAGATAGTCAGAGGAGAGTCTGATGCTCTTCCGTACGCCTCAGACGTCAGTTGTCACCTCTCTTCATTTCTGAATAGACGTGTAAGTTTTCTCTTGTTTTCTTAGTGGGTCTCGATGGAGGTTTGTCTATTTTTTTTCAAAGAGCCAGCTGTTGGTTTCATAGACCTTTCTGTACTGCCTTTCCAATTTCAATGTCATCTGTTTCTGCTCTAATTTTCAAACATTATTTCTGTCCTTTAGTGGATTTCGGCTCCATTTGATCTTCTGCTCGGAGCCTGAGGTGCCACGTAAATGATTTATTTGTGTTCTCTTTGCCCTCTGACTTTGAACTTCCCTCTCAGCGCGGCCTTTCCGGAGGCCCGTGGGCCCCCGTAGCTACTCTTAGCCATTTATTAGCAGCGTTTTTAAATATCACCTTTGATCTCCTTGTTAACCCAACAGTCACTCAGCAGCATGCCGCTGGGCACCCACACATGACTGGTTTTGTTCTTGTTTTCTCTCTGCGGTTGATTTCTAGCTTCTTGGCACTGTTGTCAGAGAAGCTACTCAAGTGATTTCCATTTCACGAGTTTGTCATCCCCTATTATGTGGCCCAGCATGTGGTCTCTCCTGAGAGTGGCTGTGGGTGCTTGGGAAGACGCATGCTTAGCTCTGTCGCCCCATGAGTGATGCCAATCCACCTCACCTAGTTTTCCTTCAGGGCTGTTGTTTCCTTGCTGATTTCCTGTCTGGTTGTTCTTTTCACTGATGTGAGTGGGACGCTAAGTTCCTCCACGGCTATGGCGCTGCATCAGTGTCTCTTTTTAGGTCTGTTACGAGTTGCTTTTTATATTTTGCTGCACTTTGCGGCATGTGTTGATGAGACTGATGTCTTCCTGATGATTGAACCCTTTAGTATCAGATGATGTCTATTCCTGGCTCTTGTGGCTTTTCAAGCCTGAAGTCTGTTTTCTCTAGGTATGGCTGTCCCTGCTTTTACTTTTTATTTTTTAAAGATTTATTTTTTATTTTTTAAAGATTTATTTATTTATGCATACAGGCCAGGGGTGTGTGGGGGGGATTCACCAGATCATCCTCTGGTGAGAGGATTCACCCGAGCCAGAACAGGTGGATCCACTGCCGAGGGGAGCAGTGGGGAGACAGGAGAGGCCTGCTGAGCCCTGTGAGTCACTCCCTGGCCGGGAATCGAACTTGTGCTGCTGTGTTATGCGGACAGCCTCATAGTGCTGTGCTTTAACCCGCTGCGCCACCAGGGAGGCCCCCCAAGACTACTGGTTTAAATGTTAATTTCACAGAAAATGCCTTCACGGCAGCATGGTATTTGATCAAATACTGGTGCAAAATAGCAGAGCAAAGTTGACGCAGAAGATGATCACAAGCCCACCGTTGTCGGCCAGACACCTGTGCTCCTTCGCTGCGGTTTGCAGTGCCTGCTGTGGGCCTGCTCCTGTAGCCCGAAGGACCGAGTGGCGTCAGCGAGGCTGGGTTGGAGCTCCCGGCCCCCACAGAGAGAGCAGAGTCCTCTGTGGGGTGCGGAGGGAGGACTCAGGGGTCTGGAGCTCGCGGGGCACTGGTGGGGCTGGCGGACAGAGGACCGGAAGGTCAGCTTTCTGGGCCATCGCCGAGTGTACAGTGGCTGAGACAGACCCGGCGGGAGAGACGGCTTCTGCGCCAGTGAAGGCCTGGAGTTGTGGGAACCTCACTTTGGTCTAAACGGGAGTCCCTGGGCTTCCTGAGCAGCCCGGTGATGCTGGGGTTTGTGCCCTCTCCACCGCCTGTGGCCTCTGGCAATCAGCCCGCCCTGCACCCCCTGTCGTGTGCCTGGCAGGGAGTCCCCTGACCCCATGGCATGGTGGCAGCTGCTCGAGGTCTGGGAGCCTGGTCTGCTCTCTTCTGGGGACTCTGAATTGGGACCTTGAACTTGGGGGTGCTGCCCCCTGGTGGGAAGGATGAGCCATTTCCCTTCCCCACTGTCACCTGGGGCTTCTAGCCCATTCCAAGGGAGCAGGAGGAAATAATCACCTGATGGGGTGTGGCCCCTCCCCCCCATACCTGCCCAAGGTCACGGTGGGCTGCACCTTGGCGACACAAGGCCACTGGTGTCTTTACTGATGACGGGGCCCCGAGCTGCTCCCGGAGTTGGACTCAGGGTGCATCTTATTATGGGGTGACCCTGGAGAGTAGCACTGGGAGCTGGGGATCAAGGTATAGGCCTAGAGCATCAGTGGGGTCATCATGGATGGTCCTAAGGGTCAGACCCTTGCTGGGAGACTGGGGACTGGGGTCAGAAGGTGGTCTGAGACAGGCCGCTCGGGAATACTTCTAGGGGAGACACAGAGTAAGGGGGTGGCCTAAGAGTAGTGGAGGTCATGCTGGGGGCTCGAGCCTTAGCGCAAGGCCACCTTTGAGTGCAAGAGAAACCGCGTGGAGGGGGATCCCGAGCAAATAAGTCACTCCAGAAAAGCAAGCTGGGGAGGACGGTGCCAGACCGTCCATTGGGTCCTGGGCACTGAGGACATCTTTTAGTGAGTGTAGGCGAGACCCTCAAAACATGGACCTTTGGGGGTGAGGATCTTTGGGAGATGCACTTGCAGGGCCATGATCAGAACATGAGGGTGCAGGAGAACACCCGGGTATCTGGATAATCACGTGAAGGAGACCAGGGACGTGGCTTTGGAAGACTAAGAGCCAGGCTGCCTTGGAAAGGGGACCTTGGCGCAGCGTTGAGGCCCTGGACACTGGGGCCAGCTAGAAGGCACAGCCATACATTTGAGCACTTGGGGCCAGCCACTGCGGTGGGGAGGGAGCACCCAGGTGTGGCTGCCTTGGGGAGACCGGTCAGGCAGGTGGACCTTGAAGGACATGCGGCGGGGATGAATTGGGGGTGGGGTGGGTTAGAAACTGCGGATTCTAAGGGGTCTATCACAGCAACCCATCATGAGGGTGTTCGGGGGCGGGAACCTGGGATTTCAGGGGGCGGCCTCGCGGGTTTTCCAGCCCAGGGAGGCGCCTGCGCAGTGAGGGTCTTGGAGCCGCGTGGCCGAGGGCAGGACCTGGCGGGGTGAGGCCGGCAGGTGTAGTGGGGGTGGGGGCCTCAGTGGGGTCCCAGGTGACTCAGGGGTGTCTCGGGAGAGATCAGGGAGGGTGGTCGGTGGGGTCAGACGCAGGTGAGTACGGGAGAGTCCAGGAGCCGACCTGGGGGCCCTGGGAGAAGGCGGCCCCTGACCCCAGCGGAGGTTTATTGCCCGGGGCCGCCGGGTCAGGCGCACTTGCGGTACACGATGTGCGGCCCCTGCTCCTCGTACTGCTCCCGCAGGACCCAGCAGGACTGGAAGGTGCGCAGGGACGCCAGGATGGAGCCCCCGATCCACACCGCGAAGTTCCTCCTGGGCTGCGCCACCACGGCGGCGGCCGGGGCCCCGGGGGGCTGCGCGCACAGCAGCTCGGCGCGGAAACGGGCCTCGAAGCCCGCGAAGAGCGAGGAGCCCCCGCACAGCAGCACGCTCTGCGCCACCTCAGCCCGCGCCTCGGCCGGGACCTTGCGGAGGCTCTGGCTGGCCATGGCGGGGACGCCCACGGGCGACAGTCCTGGGATCTTGGGGGGACTGAACAGCAGCTCCGGGCACTGGAACAGCTCCCTGCCCAGCGTCACCGTCCGGCCGTCCGGCAGCTTCAGGGTCCGGCGGCACTCCTGCCCCGGCCGGGCCTGCCGCTTGGGCGCCACGGGCGCCACATGGCAGTAGCGGTGCTTGATGTCCTCCACGGTGTCCAGGTCCTGCTGCCCCAGCGGCAGGCCTGACCCTCGCAGCATCTCGGCCAGGAAGGCCGTCAGGTGGGTGCCGGCCAGGTCCAGGCGCTCGGTGGCGTGCGGCAGATTGTAGCCCTGGAACACGGGCACCGTGTAGGTGACCCCGTGGCCCGTGTCCACCACCAGCCCGCTGACCCGCCCGTGGGCGTAGACGGACAGCACCGACTGATACGCCACGTACATGGCCGGGGAGCGCAGCGACTCGAAGGCCAGCTCCACCAGCTTCTCCCGGTTGGTGCTGGGGCTGAAGGGCGGGTCCGAGAGCAGCAGGGGGTGGTCCCAGGTGGCCACACGAAGGTCGTGCTCCAGCACGTGGCGCCAGATGAGCTCGGCGGCTTCCCAGTCCACCAGGATTCCGTTGCGCACCGGCTGCACCAGCGTCAGCTCCGGGCGCGAGCGGGCGGCCTCGCCGATGAAGGTCTCCAGCACTGTGTGTTTGGAGGTGGCAGACTTCTTGGGGTGACAGCCCACGACGGTGGCCACTGTGTAGATGGGCCGGGCCTGCCCCGCGAAGCCCACCTTACAGGTGCCTGTGCCCATGTCGATGACCACAGCCCCCGTCTTGGGTGGCAGCCTGTCCCCCACCAGGCCGGGGGAGTCCTGTTGCAGGGTTTTGCTCGCCTGGATTGAGCTGGGGCTCAGGTCAGGCCGGGGGGCCTCTGAATAGGATCTGGGCTCCGGGAGCTTGGGGCCATTTGCATCCATGGCTGTAACTGGCCAGGTGAGCTGCTTATCAAGGTGGACCGCTTTCCTCTGGGGGGCGGGGGTGTGGGGAAAAGAGGGTGAGCCCTGCCAGGGGTGAGCAGAGAGGGAGCCGACCTGTCAGCAGTCTGTGACATCAGCATGCTCAGTTGGGCCCTGCAGGAGACTTCATAATGCAGGGGTGGCGTGGGGGTGGGGTCCCTCGTCGTCGCCCTGCTCCAGAAAGCTCTCAGGATACCCATGTATTCTGGATCCCCCCAAGTGCTAAGTTTGGGGGGGAGGCAGACCGAGTTCCGCAGAGGGTCCTTCGACACCGTTCCTGGACCCAGGGCCCGGAGGCCCAGGACTCCTGCCCTCAGGGGCCTTCACGGGGCATGGAGAGCTGGTCACAGTGCTTCAGACGTTGAAAGTTAATCCCTGGGGTGCCGCTTAGAAAGTGGCTAGCTAGCGGGGCTTTCTGGCCCTCAAGCTCTGGCCCCTCAGCGTGGGTGAGGGGCAAGCAGAGGCGCAGGCACCCGGTGCTCAGGTCTGTGACTCTTCCTCCTACCGCCTGGAACAGCCTCCCCGCCCCAGTCCTGCAGGACTTTGCTTCTTCAAACAGCAGCGGGCTGCGCTGCCTCCTGGGAGCCTCCCCACCTTCCCCTCCCATCTGCGGCACACAGTGGTGAGGGAGGTGCCTGCCAGTGGCTTTTCCTTTTTACCTTGGTGCAGGTGTTACATGGGGTGAAAAAAGGGGCTTCAGTGTAGATAAAAAGGGGAAGGAAGGGGTTGCTTCATCTAAGGACAGCACCATGGATCAGGAAAGTTGCTTCTAAACTGATCTGTGGTGGTGGTAGGTTTCACCTGCTGAATGAAAAATTAAAATTTCATGTGTTTGTGTGGAGTGCTAGGAATCAGCAGGACTGATGTGAATGTGTCATGGGAGTATCACAGCAAGAGAAGCTTAACATGCTTGTGTATGTGTGTGTTTGACTTTTGGAGGCCTGAATTATTCTGTGATCTAGGTTATTTCCATGCTCGGCCATTGTGAGTCACAGTGCAGAGAGTACAGATGTCTCTTGGGGATTGTTTTCATCTATTTCGGTTTATATACGCAGAAATGAGCTTGTTGAATCATGGCATAGTTTAAGTTTCCTTTTTTTTTTTCTAGGTTTATTTATTTATGCATACAGAACTGGGGTACAGGCCAGAGGTGCAGGGGTGGTGAGAGGATTCACCAGCGGCAGACCTAACCATTGCATTCTTGGCTATTTACCCAAAAGGAATGAAAAGACTTATAGATAAATATTGACAGCAATTGTATTGGTGATAACCAAAAAACTGGGAACAATCCAAAACACACATCAATGGATGAATTGGGTGAATTGCGGAAAGCCCATAAAAGGGAATCTATCAGTGATAAAGGAATGAATTTTCAGTATGTGCAACAACACATTGTACCACATCAAATAAAGGAAGCCGGGTGAAGATGGGTACATCCATGATTCTCGAAGTCCAAACTCACAGGAAGCCGAGGTCTGGTTGCTTGGATGACGGGGTCATAAGAAGTGTGCAGGAAGCATTCAGAATGGATGAAAACAATCATTTCTCACATTTCATATCATCATCATATTTGAATTGTGAATCTGACTTCACGGGTTTGTAAATGCATCGAAGGCAACTGAATTGCAAACTCTTCACTCATGGCTACTTTATGTCCTCTATGCACTGATAAGGCTGATAAAAAACCAAACAGGTGGGTCCTCCCTGCTGGCGCAGCTGGTTAAAGCAAGGCACCATGAAGCTATCAGCAACTACAGCAGCATGAGTTCAATCCCCAGCCAGGGAGTGACCCACAGGACACAGCAGATCTCACCTGTCCCACCCGCTGCCCCTCTAAGCAATGCATTTCAGACAATCTGCCTGTTCTGCTCCCCACTCTGTCTCTGGTGGGTCTTCTCAACTGCCGCACCTCTGATTCCAGTTCCTGGTTTGATCTCACTTCATAATTCCATCTACCTCAGAACAAGTAATTCTTAAAATGGTGTGTATAGTTCTCTACCAGTGTCCTTTCTAGGTTTCAAGCAGCTACATCTGAGTGGACTGCCCTGACTGATTAGCCTGTTGTCATCTCCAAGAATGAGACCCAGGGGTTCTAGGAATTGAGTCCAGTTCTCCAGCAGTTGGCCTCCCTTGCCCTTCCAAGCTGCTGGAAATTAACATTGTAAAGGTCTGTGAGATGCTGGGAGATTACGTAGGAGATATGTGAAGAGTCTTAGTAAACAATCTTCTGAATGTAAGAAGTGTGGAGAAGCTTTCACTTGCCTTCATCCTTTCAGTGACGTGTGTAGACACTGAGCCAGAAAACTCACGCCTGCAAAATGTGGGAAAACCTTTACGTCTCCCTCTTCCCTTACACAGCATGTTAGAATTCATTCTCTAGGAAACCTTATGAATGGCAGGAATGTGGGAAAGTTTTCATATACTCCTCTTCCTTTCAATTCCACAGGAGGAAGCACGGTGGAGATAAACTATGAATGTGAGCAGTGTGGGAAAGTCTTCAGGCAGTTCTCAAATCTGAGAGAACATGTGAAAACACCGTGAAGATAAGCCCTCCATGTATGAGTGGTGTGGCAAAGCCTTTAGGTATCATTCAAAATTGTGAAAACATGCTAGAACACATAGTGGCATTAAGCTCTATAAATGTGAGCGGCGTGGCACAGTCTTTAGGTATCAATCAAACCTTCAAGTTCATGTGAAATCACACAGTGTGGCTAGACCCTCTGAGTGTGAGCAGTGTGGCAAAGCCTTCAGGTCTCCCTCAAGTCTGTGAGACTATGTAAGGACTCACATTGGGGAGAAACCCCATGAACGTCAGCAATGTGGGAAAGCCTTCAGGTGCCCCTCACACTTCGAGGACATGTGAAAATGCACAGTGAAGAGAAACCCTATGAAAGCAAGGAGTGTGGGAAAGTTTTCAGACACCCCAAATATTTTCAAAGACGTGAAAATACACAATGAAGAGAAACCTAATGAATGTGAGAAGCCTGGGAAAACTGAGTTGCTTTTCATTCCTTCAAAAATAGCAGCAGCACACAAGTAGGAGGCACTGAAATAGTCACTGTGTAAAAGTCTTCAGTTGTCACTGCCCCTTTCAGCACAGGTGAGAAGAAAGTGCAGAGAAAGCTTATGAAGACACAGTGTGGGAATGTGTGCAGCCGCTCCTTTAACCAAAACCCACTGGTTGAGCTGGAACAAAACCCCCAAAATACATTTACTTGAGACTTTGTTAGGACTTTGCCCAGGAGACTCAAGAAACCTTTGGCTTGTGTTCCAAGTTGTTTGGGATTAGCGCTTAGATCCAGAAAGAAAAGGTGGGGGAGTTCTATGCAAATTGGAAACCTAGCAGCTGCTGTTCTAGGTCAGCTGTCAAGTAAGTCCAGCTGCTGAGATGGCCCCAGCAAAGCTACTCATGCTCTGTGTGTGCACTAGGGCCCTGGAGCCCCTGTTCCAGAACTTGTTTCATTTCTATTACACTGTCTTTTGGACATAGGGATGATGAACACTTTTTGTTTCTGGCTTGCTTTTTTCCCATGAAATTTGATGTAATTTTACATAAAACGTGTTCCTGCTGTTCCTTGATGCTTTCCTAATGTTCCTTGATGTGATATTTTTGTCATTGGCATTTCTGTCCTGGTCTACCGTTGCAGATACTAAGGTTTCCTGACTTAATATCTACCAATCCCTTCACGTGTTATGAAAGTTGTATCTTGTATATTTGTTGCTAGTGAATAGCTTGTCTATGATAGCTACACCTCACAGAAATGCCTAATTGTGGAACAGGGAAGAGCTGAGTCTGATCAGATCATAACATAACCTTTCCTCGTTGTCCTTGATCTTGGCTGGAATTGAGCATGAAACACCGAGTCAAGGGAGACATGCGGCATGAAGACGAGAGCAGGTGTCTTGCCCCGTGCAGCTGTGGGAGTCCCCTCCTAGGTTTTCACGGTCACTTAGATATTTGCACTTTCCAAAAAATAAAAGAATGCTTTGGAAAACAGTTGGAGTGAGAGGCACAGAGGCTGCACACCCAGCTCCTGGGGCAGCTCCAAGAAAGCCCATCGAGTCCGCCCTAAAAATGACCTGGTAAAACCGCAGTGCAAACAAACAGCAGGCAGGCGTGATGAGTGAAGAGACTGAAAAGGCAGAGCCTTGCTCACTCTCGGAGCCTGAGAACAGCGTCTGGCTTTTCTCCCTGAGGTTATCCCAAAGTTTCTTACGTTACTGTCATTATTTTGACTTTCTTTCAGTATTATTCTGGCCTTTTCGAGCTCCAGCAGCTCTGAACTGGGACCTGGGTCCCAACAGTAATCACCCTCCTGGGCAGCCCTCCTGGCGTGCCCTCCGCCTGGGGCAGGCACCGCGCCGCTGGGCCCGGCGTCCCAGAGCCGTGTGCGCCTGACGGGCATCGTGGGCTCTGCCCTGCAGCCAGCCTCCCTGTGAGGCTGCTGCCCTGGAGAAACAGTCAGCTTAAAAGCTGCTCCCGTGCTCTGCCAGGCCACCAGCACCAGCGTGGGCTCCAGGAGGGTCTGGCTTTGTTCTGCTGCCACCTAGTTGTACCACACCAGGAGGCGCCCTGACTTCTACTTCACTTTCTGTTGCCCCAAACTGTAAACGTCGCAGACACTCAGGTTTTGAACACATCTTCAGTTTGTTTTGTTTTTAATGTTTCCAGAGTTCATATCCAGCCTCTTCCTCTTCTGACACTTGCTCTGTGGGCAGGGAGCCGTGTCACTGTCCCGGGGCAGGACAAGAGTGGTCAGCTTCAGTTCAGGTGGGCCCCCGGACATGGAGAGTGGCTGCCTCGGGCACCGGGCCCAGGCAGCTGGGCTACGCTGAGGGGAAGCTGTGCAGGCCCCGCTCCCTGGAGGGGGCTGAGGCCTCCGTGGAGGGGGCCACTCCCACGCAGAAGGGATGAGTCTGTCTCCAGGTCCCAAGTCCACGCGGGAGGCCTCAGGCGAGCCTCGAAGCCTCACCTGGCAGAACTCCCCAGTGCCACACCCGACATGAGGCCTAAGGAAGGGCCCATGCTTTAGTTTTGGGGGGCAAGAGGGGTGATACTCTAGGGCTAGGCTCTGCAGTCCCCTTAGCCCTGTCGGGAGCTCGCTGCCACTCGTCTGGGGCCCGGAGGCTCCGTGTCGCGGGAGGAGCGGCCCCGAGGACACTCTCTCCACCACAGAGTCCCGCCAGTTGGGGTCGCACGACCGCAGAGCAGCGGACTGGAGCGGGTGCCCCCTCCGCTCCCCCCAGCAGACGTTGCCCGAGAAAGCAGCTGTAGGCATCGCAGCTTGACCCGGTCGGCCAGCACAGGGACGCCCACGTGCCGCAACGTGGCGATGGACACACGCACCACAACACGTCAAGCAGACACTGCGCTTTACTAGAAACCCACACACGTGACACGACAGGCAACTTCACTGCTCTCATCTGCCCTCGCCCAGCACAGGGGCACTCAGGCAGCTGAGGAGAGGGCCCTCCCTGTCAGGGCTGCCCCGGGTACCTCCAGACCCTGGGCCAGTGCAGGAAGTGGGGTGTGCAGAACCCACTCCAGGGGCCGGCCAGCAGGGACCCTGCCCACAGCGCTAACCAGTCCACGCCGGGGTCTGCGGGCATGCTGGCCCCAGCCTCAGGAGCGGGGGGCTGCTACCCATAGTGGTTGCGGTCAGCCTCACCCAGGGTCAGTGAATCTGACAGACTGGGCTTCTGTTCCAGCTTCTCCTCCTCCGGGGAGTGCTGGGAGGGCCGGGGCTTGAAGAAGTCAGAGATGTATCGGACCTAGAAGGACAGGAGGGAGAAGGCTGACCGGCGGCGAGGGCTGGGGGAGGGGGCAGGGACGGGACAATGAGAAAGCAGAGCGGAGGACAGGTCCTGAGGAGGGAGGGAGAAGGCGGAGTCCCAGGACAAGGGCACGTCCTGGCGGGGTGGCGGGCGGGCCCAGGCGCTCACAGTGAGGACAGCCACCAGCGCCCCCTGCAGCAGGCCAACGAGGACATCGCTCCAGTGGTGCTTGTGGTCAGACACGCGGGTGTAGCCCACGAAGAAGGCAAAGGCCACCAGGAAGAACTGCACCGTGGGCCGCAGCAGCCGAGCCCACTTCCAGCACAGGCGTGCCTGCACGTAGAGCTGGGGCCGGGGGTGCGTCAGCCCTGCAGCCGCACGCCAGCCCCCTGCCCGCCGCCAGGCGCAAGGGCCGGGAGGGAGCCCCAGCGTCCGCACCCACCCCCGCCCCGACCTCCCCTGCCCGGAAGGCGAGCGACGGGGCCCACGGGGGCAGTCACTTGGCCACTGGTTACCAGCCAGCAGGTCACGCAGGACCAGACTCACCGCCAAGAACACCATGCAGTACATCCCGAAGGAGGAGTGTCCCGAGTAGAAGGATAACCTGGGCCGGGGAGAGCAACAGGCTTCAGAGGCGGCGCCTGTGGAGGCAGCCGGGCCCGGGAGCTGCGTCCCCGCCCTGCGTTTCCCGGCTGGGCCCTGCACGGGGGATTTCACACGGGAAGCCGGGCCAGCGTCTGACCCAACAAGGATTCCCTTCTCGTTCGCCTGAGAGGGCCACAGAAGTTCCCACACCAGAGCTGGGACCGGCAAAGGTGCTGCAGGCCCAAGCTCGCGGCCCAGCGGTCTCGGTGCCTGGCTGGCAGCCGGCACCGCAGTGTTCACTACGTTTCTTATCAGGATTGTTTTCCATCTGCAGCAACTGATGCGAGTCTCACATTTTCTTTTTATATAAATTCAAGTTTCAGCACATCAATGAACTAGAGACAAAACAGGAGAGGAAGATCCACCACGTTCCATAAAAGCGATGGGAAAAATGGGCAAGAACAGCTTAAATCCGACTGTGGGTGGCCAGGTGTGCCAGAGCTGCCGTGGGCAAGAATTCTGATTGATTCCCTGGAGTCCTGGCTGGCGAAGCAAAAAGATGCACCAGCAAACAGCCAGAACTCAAAGACAGAGAAAATCTTGGAGGCAGCGAGAAAGGGTACTCATGGTGTCTCAGCAGGAGCCACGGGTGTCAGAAGGCAGCGGAATGATATAGTCAGAGGCTGAGAGAGAGAACTGTCAGCTAAGAATTTAGAGGATGGCACGCATCCTCTACAAATAAAGGAGAAAATTAGTCCTTCCCAGACCAAAAAAGCTAAAGAGGATTCACTGCTAGGACAACTGCCTTATAGGAAATGCTAAAGGGAGTCTTTCAAGGAAAAATGAAGTATGGTACACAGGAATTCAAATTTAACAAAGACATGCAAACCAAGCAGAAAGGTAATTATATAATGGAGACATCAGTATTATTGTACTTCAGGTTTAGAAATCCTGTTTTTCCAATATGCTTAAAAAAAAACATAAAACAGCCAACTAAATCTGCTATGAGCATACAATGCAAAAGATGTAACTTGTGACAATAACATCATTAGGGAGAGATATAATCACAAAGTTCTTGCACAGTAAATATCAATTTAACAGAAAAGGCAGTAATGAAAAAATTGAAAGACAGAAAAAGATGTGTTGAAAACAACAGCTGGCAGTGGCCGTACTGTCTGATAAAACAGGCGCTGAGACAAGAATTGTTAGGAGAAACAAAGGACATTACATGGTGATAAAACTCATCATGAAGATGTAACAAAGAGATATGCGCCTACCAACAGCAACCCAAAATCCACGCGGCAAACTAACAGGAGCTACATAGACATGGGTAACTCTGAAACATTCAAGAAGCCAAGCTGGAAAGGCCAGAGTGTGCAATTCCATTTGTATGAAATGTCCACATGACCAGAGACAGAGCGCGGTGCTGAGGCCACGGGGGAAGAATGACAGCAAACGGGCGAAGGGAAGACAGTGAGGATGGCTGCACGACATTTTGAACGTACTGAAAAGCAAAGGTCGTACAGACTAGGATGGCTACTTCAGTGAATTGTATGCCAAGGGAATTCAATTTCACTATTTTAAAAAAGGAGAAGAATGTTGAATAAATAAAAGTTTAATATGCGTATTGGTGGAGACAGTGACAAGACAAAGCAAGAAGCATGAGAGTGAGACCTGCCATTCAGGGGAGACGGGCCCCCCTCTGACAGCAGCTGTTATGCTCCGAGGGTCAACAGGCCCCCACCTCCTCTCAGGCTGAAAGACCCAGGCCGATGGTGTCTGGATCTCACTCACACCTCATCTTCTGCCAATGAGCTTTATGCTTCTCCACAGGGCACCACGTTCCTCACCCAGCACCCGAGGGCCCTTCCCAACCCCTCCTGCAGGCTTGAGGCCCCTGTCCCGAGGCTGGTTCTCCACACCTACCTGGCCTCAGTGACGTTGGCAGGGCTGCCCCTGCACACCGAATCTACCTGCACGTACAGCGAGCAGTTGATGCGGCTCCAATCAGGGTCACACACGGCCAGGAAATTGGGCCGCAGGCGGCCGATCATGTACTTGGCCAGGTCTGTCAGCGACTGGCTCATGGCTGCCCCAAACAAGAAGGTCCCCAGCACCTTGTAAATGGCGGCCACGTAGTTGTTAAAGTTGGAGCGGGAATAGAGGCGGTCGGTATACACCAGGTAGGCCTCCCCCATGCAGACCTAGAAAGGGGGAACCAAGAGACTGAAGGCCGGGCTGGGCAGCAACTGAGGGGGCTCCCCGGGCACTCTGGCGCAGGCCTCGGGCTTGCCGGCGGGAAGGAGTTCCAGATTCCTGGCCTCCCGGAGGACACCGGGCTCCTGGGACCTCAAGGTGGCCCTTTCCCCACAAGCACTGCCCAGGGCAGGGTGGTGCCTCCACCCCCACCCCAACAGACCCCTTTATGCCTTCCAGGGCAGGGCTTGACCCTCCAGTGGCCCCCTCACCCCGCGCCAAGCCCTCCCCACCCCCGCCTTACAAGGATGACGGTGGCTGTGATGGTGACCCCAGCCATGAGCCTATGGGTGATGGTGTCCGGACGGTAGGGGTACCGGATGGAGTCATCTTTACAGTAGAAGCCTCGCTTGTACGGGGCATTCACGAGTGTCAGGATGAGGAAGGGCAGAGCGGCTGGGATGGAAGAGGGACGCAGGAGTCACGTGCCCCCTGCCAAGCCCTGGGTCCCACAGACTTTCCTCAGGTGCTTGACACCTGCCTCGGCGGGGGACCTCCACCCCCACGACACAGCCCTTCCCAGGGCAAGCGCCATCACCCTCAGATGAACGCCAGCCTCCTCCCCAGACCCATCACCCAGCCCTCCCCCTCCGCGGCCCCCCCTCGCACCCCGCTGGCACACACCCATGACCTTTGCACATGGGCCTCTTGGCCCAAACCATCTTGCCTGATTTCATCTAGTCTCAGCTCCACCCGCACGACCCACCCTGGCGTCACTCTCCCAGGAGGAAATTTCCATCCTTCACGTCTCGTCCTGTGCGTCCCCGAGTGCGCGCGGCCCCCAACCCACCCATGGGGAGGGCCCGAGGGAGGCGTGCTGCCTTCCGGCAGTGCGTGGGCAGGCCAGGGTTTCGTGAGTATCGTTGTAGAAGGGAAGGCCCCGCGTGCCTCCAGGGCCGGCCCAGGCCTTCGGGGTCAGCAAGCCGAGGCCCCACTGTCGTCCTCGCGCGACCGAGACAGACGCAGCCCCGAGTCAGGGCCGCTCAGCCAGGCTCTGTCCAGGAGCCCGGTCAGGGCCAACTCCAGACAGGCATGGCGGGCCCGGGTGCCCGAGGCCCCGTGGGGCCCACGTCCACAGGACAGGTGCTGGAGGCAGAGCCAGGCGGCGCCCTCTGCCCCTCGCGCACAAGGAGGCCCTGAAGCCTGAACAGCCCGGAGCGGAGGGCAGGGGCGGGCCCCGTCCGGGCCTGGGCTCTGGGGGCACAGATACGCCGCTAGTGACGGGAAGGGACAGCCGGGGGAAGAAAGCTGCTGAGAGCCGGGGGGTTGGGGGGCTGAGGAAACAACCCAGAGCAGGACAGCGGGCGGCGGCAGCTCTCAGGGGCCCTCTGGGGAGTGGAAGAGAAGCGGAAGTGCAGGGAGGCCGTGGGTGTGCCAGGCAGAGAGCAGAGTCAGTCCAAAGGCCCGGGGTGGGCCCTCTAAGGGCCGCACGCTGGGGTGCCGACTCCCGGTCAGAGGCGGGGATGGAGGCAGGAGTCCAGTGAGGGGCAGGGGAACGGAGGCTGCAGCCGTGTGGGGCATGGAACCCCAGGCTTGGGGGGACCCCGGAGTCGGCAAGCGGGAGAGGCTGGGTCTGGTCCTGTTTGAAGGCGGACTGGGCCTCAAGGCCCGTCTCTGCGCCTGCCACAGGGACACCCCCAGTGGAGTGTGTTTGGTCTCCGGGGATTTGGAGGGCAAGTTCAAAGCACTGGACTGCCCCCCCTATCAAATGTCTCAGCAGACACCTCCAGGGCCCCTGGCCTCAAACCCCCCAGGGCCCTCCTCACCTCTACAACTGAACTGTTTGTAAAACTGTTTGCTGCTAGAAGGGAGAAGGGCTGCCAGGAGCTGGCTGGCACCGGGGCACCACACCGCCTGATCTCAGCTCTGCTGCCCACTGCTGTGTGACCTCCCGCAGGCAGCTGAACCTCTCTGTGCTGCAATTGGGGATCAAGTTCTTTAGAATGAAAGGTTTAATTACTTGCTGCCTGGTGCCTGGCACACACTAGATGCCACACAACTACTTAAATTACACGCGTCCTCAGGAGGGGCCCCGGCTGGCAGTCACCCTTTGGGGACTTCCTGGAGACCTGGCCCACCAGGGGGCCTGTCTGGGACAAGGGGAACGCCTGCTCTGCAGTCCGGCAGGGCTGGCCCTTGCCCCGCGGTCCCCCGATCCCGCAGGAGGGGCAGAAACCAGCGTGGGGCGGGGGCGGCCTAGGCCAGAGGCCCGCCCCAGCCAGGGTGTGATGCAGCGGCCACTGTCCACAGCCCCAGGGCAAACACTCCGGCTTTGTTTCCGGGACCCCAGGGAAGGGGCGGGGAGGGACTCCAGGGCGCCCCCTCCCCCTGTCTGACCAGCAAACTCGCCCGACAGGTTTGGTCCGCGCAGCCCGGAGGCGCCGGCCGCTGCGCCTCGGCCCAGCCTTTCCCTCCCGGAGTCTCGGTCCCGGGCGCGCCCCGCACCCGCGGGGCGTCTAACCCCAGCCCGCGGCTGCGCTCCGGGCGGGAGCTCGGCCCTCCCCGCGCCCACCGAACGTGCCGATCCAGGGCGCCCCCTCCCCCTGTCTGACCAGCAAACT